ATAACATGCACCCCTTATTCAAGGCGACTTAGAGCCCCTTTTTCTTTAATTTTTCATAAAGCTCGCTCGCTCGCATTTATAAATGTTATAGTTATGTTACTTATAAACAAAACAAAAAAAATCTTTCCTCATTAAATTGTGCTTAATACTCATCGGGGTTTTTGTGTCTTCTTAATAAGATGTAATATTGCGCACTGGGACCTCGCAAATCACTCGAAAATTAATATTCAGACCATCACATTAACTGCAAAGTATGTTGCTTAAATAAGCAGTATCTTGTACCACGTAAAGAAAGAAACAAAGATTGATATCATTCCTGGTAGTGATAAATGGTAACAGACTAGTGCAAGTCAACCACTTCAAGTATGCAGTGTGCTGACTGAAGATGGCAAGTCTGCAAAAGAGGTCAACTTGCGCTCAGCTCTGGCAAGAGCTGCCTTCTTTCAACGACAAGATATCCTGATGAGCCACAACATTGACCTTAGTTTGAGAAAGCGTCTTGTGAAGTCTCTAGTATGGAGTGTACTGTTGTATGGGGCAGAGACGTGGACACTTGCCAAAAAGGACATGCAGTGATTGGAGGCGGTCGAAATGTGGAGCTGGCGCAAATTACTAGGTGTGTCTTGGAGGGACAGAGTTTCGAATGAAGAGGTGTTGCATCGAGCTCAAGAAAAGCGAGTGCTGATTCAAATTAATTAGAGAGAGACACACGAAATGGCTTGGACATATAATGTGGCATGATGAGGGCTTGATGCTCAGGGTCATAGAAGGTCGTATTCATGGAAAGAAGAAGAGAGGAAGACCTCGTAAAGGCTTTCTAGACGATTTAGGGGTATATACCAATGTCTAAAAATGGTGTAGGTTTTGTTGACGTCTCCTTTTGTACGTGCCCCCTTTTTCCAGAAAGTGCTCTTTTTGGTTGGTGCCCCCCCCCCCTCCAATTTTGGAAGACGCTCCGCCGCCCCTGCATTTTTATTCATGCTACTTGGTGGTGATAGGGATTTTCTTTCCCCCCCCTAACGTTTTTGTTCATTACGCCGAATTCTGCGGTCCGGTAACAGGTTCAGTTGCTGATAAGTTGGGTGAAGTTGTTTCATTCGTCCAGTAGTCGCACTGTGTAATTATTTGGTCTGCAGTTTGCGTCGTTAATCCTATCTAGCCCGGGCTAATTTGAAACTGCATAACCCTGCCCCCCTCCCCCATGATCTCGGCCGTTGAACGGCCGATCGCCGCGAAAATTAAGTGTATAGATACTTCACTCATTTGCATATTTATGGTAATTTATGCAAATAAGGTAATACAATTCACATTTTTACCTATAAATCATAATTGCTTTCACTACATATATTCTTTAGACCATTTCAGATAATAATACCAAATAAATTGGAAGAGCCAGGTTATTCCTTATGTTTTCTATTGATTTTATAATTTCTTATGTATTTCTTTGTTTTTTTAATCTATGTATTTCATTGTTTTTGTTGTTTTATTTTAATTCTAATTATAATTCAACTTTTTTGAACCCCGAAATAAACACCTAAACTATAAACAAGACCAAATAACCAATGTTTTATCTCTTTCGGGGAAAAATGAGATTTCCAGATGTTTTGTTCACAAATCACGAACATTTCGCCGGGCGTTCTTATTCATGATCACGCCACCTTCGGCTGGCAGCAAGTATGTAGGTGGAGGTCGCATATTGTGTTGGTGTGGTGGAGATCAAAATTTAAAAATGCCAGATTCTGGAGGAGTTTTTAAAACTTTTTTTCTTCATTAAGTGATATCGATATTCATTCTTTTTCGGCGTTTTTAATGCCAGGATCTAGGCTCTGCTTGAAGGGAAAGTCCACTGTAATAATAAGTTTGTTTTAATACGAGGGGGAAATGAGAACAACAGATCATTGAAGGTTTGAAAAAAATCGGACAATAAATAGGAAAGATAATGATTGTTGGTAAGGGACATTAATTTTGTTTAAATCCATAACTTTTCATGCAATACTTCGAATCTGTAAAATTAATGTAACAGTTAAAAAGTTGTCTCATTTCAGTTAGTACATTTCTTACCGTCTTCCTTATCCACTATTGCATGTTCATTTATATATTTGCATTCTTCATTTGCATATTTATTTTCCCAGCTCATGTTCCCTTTTCATTCACCATCTTACAGCACAGTCTTTCAGTTGCACTACTGCCACACCCTATTTTCCTTCCAACTCGTTCCTAGCTTTGTTGTCTTCTCATTCTCTATACATCGTTGCCTTTTCCTGCCCTAGCAACGTGCACTTTCTCTTCTCTCATTCGTTCTCTTTGCCTCTCACCTTTGATCTATCTAGCCTGTTCACCTCATTGGTTTCTCTTATCACATGACTTTCCCATGATTGGTTTATTTTGTTATGATGCCTGATTTGTACTTGGACACATGTTATAATTTGGGAAATTAAAGTGAGTTCTGTTCCGTCCTTCTTCGAGTGAGGTTGTCATTATCTACTGGCTTGAGTTACTTGAGTTTAGTTGGAGAGATTATTTTAATTTTGATGCAGCATGTTTGATGATTGATTTTGGTCAGCTATATTTCCCTCGGTTAAATAAACACGTTACATTAGCAACGCGGTCTTTAGATATGATGTCACCCCTCACATATTATACTTTGTTGAATGCAAGAAATGTCATTAAATTCCATTTTGATCAACAAATATATTTTCTTCATGCCTATCTCGATCAAAAACACCAATATATGATAAATCTACTATACCATTAACATTCAGGGAAATTGAGATTTTGGGTCATACTGTCGTTTAGATCAGGGGTGAATTGTGCGGGGATGACATCACAATTTCTGACCGCATTGCCAATTTTTCTCAAAGATTCCAAGATTTGCATAATTTCGAAAGATTCATAACTTTCTTATTTGTTGTCCGATTTTTCTCAAACTTTAACTGAAGTGTTTCTCTAAGGCTGCGTTCATGCTTAAATTTTGAAGGCAGAATGAGCGATCTGAAACGCTCATCGTAAACGCTCATCGTGATCGCAGTTCCACGATGTAGTGTTCATGCTTACTTCTCTGGCTCCCCAGGCAATTCTCCGTGTGTGGCCTTAATTGGTCTTCCAGCTGGATTCGCAAACCTTCACTGTGCATGCTACGTAGACCCACTAGAGGTCAGTGCGTTGACCCCATTTAAACGCGTTTACAAATTGTAAACGCATCTTTTTGTGAGTTTACGATCGGCGATCGTGATCGCCGTTTTTCGGTGATTCTACAAAAGTGAGCTAAGACGCAACCGTGTTTTAAACTAAACGCGTAACAGATGCCTGATTCTGGCCGTCAAAATCAAGCATGAACGCGCCCTAAGTTTTCTTCTACTATTAAAATCAATTCAATATAAGGGTGAACTTTCCCTGTGAGGCTTAATGAATTGTCGAAAGGTGTCAAATTAGCTGCATACTAAGCAAAGACTGACGTAAACCGTTGGAATGAGGAGGGCAGGGGGCACACTGCCCCCCCCCCCCCCCCACTTTTTCAAATACCCCAAAGTGCCCCTTTTTACAAAGGAAAAGTGCCCCTTTTACTTTGACAAGTGCCCATATTAGTTTTTAAAAGTGCCCTTTCCCCTTTCCACCTCTGATAAGTGCCCTTATTATTTTGACACGAACGCCTTTTCCTTAAACAAGTTCACATTTTCCTTTGCAATAAGTGTCTTTTTTAATCTCTAGTAAGTTCCCCTTTTCAGGTACAAGAAGTGCCCCTTCCCCTCCTGCTCTTTTCAGCTTATATAGATGCCCCATTTATGTTGACACGCCTCCCATGTCCTTCCTAACAGATGCTCGTTTTCCTTCTTATGAGTGCCTCTTCCCCTTCTCATAATTACCCCATTCAATCTTTGATTAGTGCCCCGTTTATTTAAACATGTGCCTCTTTTTCTTTTTTATAAGAGCCACTTCCCCCTTCTCTTTATAGATCCCCTTTCACCTCCGATAAGTGCCCCTATCAAAATCTGATCGGTGCCCCTTTTTTCAAAAAATGCACATTTCCCTTTATCATTAGAGCCCCTTTTTCATTCTCATAAGTGCCCCTTTTCACCTCTGATAATTACCCTTTTTAAAAATGATATGTGCCCCTTTTTCCTTTCTGATAAGAGACCTATTCTTTCTCATAAATGCCCCTTTTCACTTCTTATAAAGGTCCCTATAAAAAAATGCCCATTTCCCATTCTTATAAAATCCCTTTTCATCCCTGGTGCGTGCCTCTTTTTTTGGGTGTAAGAAGTGCCCCATGTTCACCTCTGATAATTAACCTTTGTACTTTGACACGTGCTCCTTTTCTTTTCTAATAAGTGATTTAACCCTTTCGATAAGTGTCCCCTTTTCCTATCATCATTAAACGTGTCCATAATTTCAAGCGACTAAGAGCAATTTCCCCGCAAAGCTCGCTCGCTACGCTCGCTCGTAGTTATAGCCAAATGCTATAATTATGTAACTCATCAAAGGTCTTTTTAGTCTTCCGTTATGAAAATGTGTTATAACCCCATCAGAATTGGGGTTTTCCTCTTTAAAAGATGTAATTTTTCGCACTGCGACCTCACAAATCTTTGAGATTTTCCTCGCTCGCTTTGCTTGCTCGCAAATGAATTTTCAGACCTTCATACCCAACTGCAAAGTATGAAAGCAATATCTTATATGACGTAAAAAGATAAACATATATTGAAATCGTCCATGATAATGTAATGACAATATAGGGTATTTACCAATGTCTAAAAATTGTATATTTTCGCTTTGAGGATTTCCCTTTGAAGGTGCCCTTTTTTGTTGGTGCCCCCCCCCCCTCCCCTCCCCCCCCCCCCCCCCACTTTGAAAGTCGCTCCGCCGCCTCTGCCGTTATGATTCACCTACCTGGTATACGCGTGTGATGATGTTGTACATATAGCTAGTGTGTGAGCGGGCGCACACGTCAGTAGGGCGTACGAATAGGGAACAGACCTTTGTCATTAAAATGCATAAGGTAGGACCATCACATGATTTTTATTTCGGTGCAAGCTTAAAAGGTCTCTCCACTTTGATGACGACTTGAAAGGTAACAAATTTCCTCCGATATTATTTGGTTTTAATCTTTGTACTTTAGTATTCTCCAGAAACTGTTATAATCATACTGGAAGAAGTAATACTTGATTATCAGGGACAAGAATGATTGATGTACGGGGGAAAAATAGAGAATTTGAATTGCTGCATCGACAAATCGGCGCCATCTTGATTCGTTAATTCTCTCCTCTAATTTACGTTACTCTCGCAATCCATTAAAGCTTTTGATGATTTGGGTTTGAGAACATTTTACAGTATGAAGCCCACTTTGACAATGTCCTACTTGCCCCCTCTATATAGAAACATTCCCTAATCGGTGCCTGTTGGTCCCAAATGATCCTCTTTTTATTATGTTAGTTGAGAGCTGAGTTAATGAGATAGCCACCTGTCAGTGACCTCGCTGTGTGGTCTAATCCCTTCCGGCCCAGTAGTATTGACGGTCTTTAACATGTCATATTCTCAAGAAACGTAAATCGGGACAAATCAATTGTTCACATACTTGAACAATGACAAAGTTTGGATATTAGCGGAGGGACAAAGTTGTTAAGTTGGTTGCCACTACCACACAAAATAAGCGCACTTTGTTTAATCGAAAGATTTAATCATAATACACAATATTCCAGAGGTGTTTTTTTAAATAATTTGTAGCGAACACCCAGAAATGATATATTTTGTTTTTAATGAATTAAAAAATCTGTAACTTTTTTATTTTTTTTCTAATTTTTCTCAAACTTTCACTTATCTGTTCTTCTCATTTTTCTCCTTGTATCAAAACAAACTTATTATCAGGTTTATCGGTGGTAGTAAGTCCTCTCCGAGGAGTTTAGGGCTAATGCCATGTCAAAAGAAACTGGTAAATCCACTTGGTGTCATCATCTCACTCTTGAATGTGTGTGTGGGTGTGTGTGTGCGCGCGTGCGTGTGTGTGTATGTGTGTGTGCGTGTGCGTGCGTGCGTGTGTGTATGTGTGCGTGTGTGTGCGTTGTCTGTGCGTTTGCTGAAACGTTTTTCATGTAAGTTAGTGTCCCATTTTATTCAACCATGTACATTATCTAAATTTACCAAATGTATTTTTTCCTTTCCTGTGTAATTTGCAGTGTTGTAATATGTACTCGCTGTTTTTCAAATGAGATGTGGACAAAATTAACTTGAAACTTGAAACTTGAACTAGAATAAGAAGTGAACAAACCTCCTCTATTCAATCCTATGTTCTATAGCATCACTATAACATATTGGATGGGGGCTGATACGAACATACTTTGCTGAACAGATATTGGCATACTGTCCAGAACGCCAGGAAAAAGGGGGCATATCTACCTTATCTAGACTTGCTATGATGCACACCATGTTATAACTTTAAGACCAAATTGAAGGATACTCAGGAAATGATGGAGATGCTGAGAACTGTTGAGGTCACACTCAGCTCCAGCTATGCAACCCTAAGTCGTCAACCTGCGCACAATAAAGAAATTATGCACAAACAAACTTTAGTACGCGAATTTCAGTTCAGTTCAGTTCATTTATTTCAATCATAAAACCATAACATAATATATATACAAAAGTAACATGAAACAATCATAATCTTATAATATTGGAATTAAGAAATTGGAGACTAAAAAGGAAGTTTGAAAAACTTGTAAGTAAAATAGTCCCCTGACATAAATAATAAATAACGAGATTACATGGTTGTATACGTTACGACAATAATAACAATATATAAATAATATACTACACATTATAGATACACACACACACACACACACACGCACACACATGCATGGTACATTGCAAGAAAAAGAAAGAGTTAAGGGAAATAAGAAGAGACCAACTGTCTCTTCAATAGAACTTTAAAGGATGATATAGTTGTGCATAATGTTAGCTTATCAGTTAAATCATTCCAAATCCGGGGACCATTATGTCTAAAAGAGTAAAGCATTAACTGGGTAGAGACCTTTGGATAATGATATTTGATACAGGAACGAGTATTATACGAATGAACAGATTTATTAAGGATAAACATTTGACAAACTCTTTTAGGTACATAATTATTATAAACATTATACATCATAATAGCACTTTGAATTTTATGTATATCATAAATATTGAGTGTTCTTAAGCGAAAAAACAGGGGACGTGAATGAGCTTGATAATGGGAGTTTGTACAAATTCTTAAAGCTTTCTTTTGAAGTTTATGGAGAGGTTCTAGTTTAGTTGTTCCCACACCGGCCCAGGTGATATTACAGTAATGTAAGTAAGGCAAAATTAAACAATTATACAACATAAACAATACTTTTTCAGGCAGAAATACACGTAATTTACAAAGAACACCAATGTTTTTAGATATTTTGTTAGTTATATACAATCGATGATCCTGAAAAGATAAAGTATCATCCAAAAGGATACCACGAAATTTAACAGAAGAGGACACGTTTAAATTTATATTGTTTATAAATATTTGTACATCATTAATATTGCAAGGATTAGTTTTATTATGGAAATAAAGTACACTTGTTTTGTCATAATTTATAATCAATTCATTAGCATTAAACCATTCAACAACCTTTTCTAATTCTTTATTTACTTCTGACATTAATTTATCAAAATCATTATGAGATGCAATCAGGTTTGTGTCGTCAGCAAATAAGACAAAATGAAAAAAAGATGAAGCAGAACTAAGGTCATTTATGTAAATTAAAAATAGGAGAGGACCCAGCATGGAGCCCTGTGGGACTCCATACTGGATCCTCTCTCTGTCAGAAATAAAGCTGTTGTATGATGTGAATTGAATACGATCACTTAAATAGTCCCTGAACCATTCCCAAGCAATACCGCGTATACCAAAATGTTTTAATTTAGTGAGGAGAATATCATGGTTAATAACATCGAAAGCTTTCGACAAATCAAGAAACAAGCCTAATGTATGCAATTTATTATTTAATTTATTGAGTATGTAATCATGAAGGTCAATTAGAGCATGTCCACATGATGAGTTTTTTCTAAAACCATATTGAGAAACAGTCAGAAGATTATTTTTATTAATATGATTAAAGAGCCTATTATAAATTAATTTCTCCAGTATCTTAGAAAAACAGGGAAGTAATGTTATTGGTCGATAGTTAGAGAATATGTGGGGATCACCTTTTTTAAATATGGGTATGATTTTTCCTACTTTAAAATTCTTGGGAACTCTTCCTGACAAGAAGGAAAGATTACATATAAAAACAATAGGTTTGACAATGAAATGTATAACATGTTTTATAATGAACTGACTTATTCCTTCAAAATCTGTGCTCTTGGTTGAATTGAGCAATTTGACAATATTCAAAACTTCTGTTACATTGGTAGGATGAAAAAATATTGATTTGCTACAAGGATCTCGTAAAAATGAACTAAAATTGCATTTCGGTTTCTGAATATGTTGAGATTTTAGTTTTGTAGCAATACTAGAAAAATAAGAATTAAATTCATTCACAATCAATTGACGATCAGTTAACTTGTCCTTATCTTTAAGAAAATAATTAGGAAATTGGCATTTTCTTCTCTTTCCTAATAAATCATTAATAACTTCCCAAGTTTTAGACATATTATTCCTATTCTTCTGTAATAAATCACAAAAATATTTTTTTCTTACAGACTGCAGGATTGAGTTTAATTTATTTCTAATTTTTTTATATTTACATTCATTGCTGTCGTTTCTTTTCTTACAAAATGTTTTATATAATCTATACTTTTTATTAATCTTTTTTAACAGTGAAGGGGTTATCCAAGGTTTTCGTGGCAGTTTTCTTTTCTTCACTTTACGAACAACAAAGTTATGATCATACACAGTTTTAAATATGTTTAAAAATGAATTATAGGCCTCATCTACATCACAAGAAAAAATACTTCATTCCATTCTAAAACAGATAAATCTCTCTGAAATGAACTTAAACTTAGAGGATCTGTTTTCCTTATGTGGAAAAATGACGATGGTCTATGACAAGGACTAATAGAGAGGTTGGTTATTTGGAAAATAGGTAGATGGTCCGTTATATCACTATAGAAAATACCAGAGTGAATGTCTTTAGTGACTACATTTGTCAAGATATTATCGATTAAAGTGACAGACTTCTTACAAATTCTTGTAGGTTTGTCAATTAATGGGCGAAATGAGTTGTTATACATAATATTTACAAAATCATCAATGCATTGAAGCGAATTATATTTAAGTAGATCAATGTTATAATCTCCCATTATATAAACTGATTTTTTTTCTAAAGATATTTTTTCAAGACAAGCATTCATATTCTCATTGAAATCACAAATGGGTTTATTAAGGTCTCTGTAAATTATACCAACAATTATGTTTTTACAATTATCCAATATGATTTCAATAAAAAGATATTCACAGAGAGTTTCAGGTAAATAAATATCATCTCGAACTTTAGCATCAAATAATTCATTAACCAGGAGTGCAACCCCTCCACCTCTCCTACCTCGTCTGTCATTATGATAAAATGTGTAACCATCCCTATTAAATAATAACATTGTGTTATCGTGAATCCAGGTTTCACTAAAACCATATATAGAAAATTGTAAGTTAAGTTGACTAATAAACTGATCAACAGCGTTAAAATTTTTATTCAAACTTCTAGAATTAAAGTGGAGAATGCTAAATTTTGGTTTATAGTTATTAATTAAATCTTGGTTCACATTAAAATCAACAGGTAGCCAGTACTTAATGGGATTATTAGATGTGAAAAAATTATCATCTGGATCAATATCATTAAGCGACCCATTTTCATCTGTATCAAGCCATGTCGAAAACATATCAAAGTTCATATCATTATTAGTAATATCATATTGCACTTCAGAAAACATACATTTAAACTCTATATCATTTACTTGATTGAAAGGAAATACATGCTGAGATATATCCATACAGTTTCAATAGCACACAATCACACTTCATGCACACATTCACGCACACCAAGATAAGAGATACAAATTACAAAA